AGTATTTGATTGAAGAGTATAACGATCGCGTCCAGCAGACTTTTACCGCCGTAACGAAAATGTTCGATGACTATATCATCATGTCCTCCCGCTTTACCATTTTTCATACTCTTGATCGCTGTCGCAGTTTCACTTATTGAAATAGCTCGATCGCAAATACCATCACTATTTGCAAAGCTTCTGACGAACATATCGTGAATATCTAACTGTATCTTAGCCCGATGACTATCATCAAAATTGGTTTGCTCAGACGGTAAAGCTAACTTACTATAGTACTCAAACCAAACATTCTTTAGTTCATCTGAATCGCAGATGATTTTATTGTCAACTTTAAGTTCTGAACATCTGTAACTATTATATTTTCTTGCCCGAACAGCCTTATAGAATGTGCCGATATCAACTTCACCTGCTTCCTGCAGGTGGTCGAGTTGCTGCTGTTCGTATAGCTCCCTTGCTTCTTTTAATGATTTACGAAAGATGGTTTTTGAATCCTTATAATCTTTGTATGATTTATGTTCTGTGCCGCGCGGACGTCCCTCCGCTTTCCACACTATACGATACTGCCTCATTGACGTATGCAGTTCTTTTACACTTCCGAAGTTCCAATATGGTTTTAAGTATTTACGATACTGCTTAAATGGCAATGTAGCTTTCGCTGAATCCTTTATCGCGGAAACAATAATCTGTACTAAGCTGTCGAGATCATCTAAATCCTTCGCCTCGCGGAGTTTAGAAGTATTACCGATCATCTGCGCCACTTGTGTGGGTTGTGTGTGTGTGTTGCGTTCTTCTGTACGTTGTGTTGTTCCTGTTCCTTGTGTGTTGTGTTTGTATGTGTGTCGTGTGGATGTGTGTGTGTATGGATGTGTGGGTTGTGTGTGGGGGTGTTGCGTTTTTCTGTACGTTGTGTTGTTCCTGTCCCTTGTGTGTTATGTTTTTATGTGTGTCGTGTGTATGTGTTTTGTGTGTGTGTGTGTGTTGTGCGCTGTTCTGTTTGGTGTTTTGTTCCTGTTCCTTGTGTGTTATGTTTGTATGTGTGTCGTGTGTATGTGTGTCGTGTGTATGTGTGTTGTGTGTGTGTGTTATGTTTGACTGTGTGTGTCTTGTGTCGTGTGTATGTATGTATGTGTGGGTTGTGTGTGTGTGTGTGTGTGTGTGTGTGTTGGGTTCTTCTGTGCGTTGTGTTGTTCCTGTTCCTTGTGTGTTATGTTCGTATGTGTGTCGTGTGTATGTGTGTTGTATGTGTGTATGTATGTGTGGGTTGTGTGTGTGTGCGTGTTGCGTTCTTCTGTACGTTGTGTTGTTCCTGTTCCTTGTGTGTTATGTTTGTATGTGTGTCGTGTGTATGTGGGTTGTGTGTGTATGTATATGTGGGTTGTGTGTGTGTGTGTGTTGCGTTCTTCTGTACGTTGTGTTGTTCCTGTTCCTTGTGTGTTGAAGCTGTAGTATCCTTGATCCTTTTTATAATAATTGTATATTTTTATTGTTTCAGTGGAGAAGAAGCCGAGGAACTACGATGAAATCGAAATAGGAGCTAACCAATCGGAACAAAGGTCAAGAAAGGTTAACCACTTTGCTACAAGTATAGAGGTGTTGGTTCTGTATAAGGCACGGCCCTCTTAGTTAACAATGTAGATATAACAGAAATCAGTGGCGTAGCTGAATATATATGATGTCTAAAAATGTCTCTGTTCCAATCTTACGTAGCTACGTCATTGATTCTCAATATAGTATCAAACATTAACACAGACACACGTTATATAGCCTCGAGATGGCATTCCATAATTAGTAAGAATTACAAATAATTCCCTAGTTACAACGCAGTAAATAGCAACGGATTCAGTCAATTATTGTTAAAGAGCTCTTTTGATCCGGGTTAAATTACGAAATTAGGCTCGTGTATTGTTACTATGATGTTGACCAAGCAAATAAGGAATATCGGATGTTGTGTGGAAACTGCAGTCGCAGGTAATTCATGAATTCATGACCTCGTTTTAAATATGTCTGTAAATAATCAACCTCTAGAAATATTGTTGTAGTAAGTGTAATCCCCAGTAATTCAGGACCTCGTTATAAATCTGGATGTTGACTAATCTACCTCGAATCTCTCTAGACATATTGTTGTAGTAAGTGTAATCCCTAGTAATTCAGGTCCTCGTTATAAATCTGGATGTTGACTAGTCTACCTCGGATCTCTCTAGACATTTTGTTGTAGTAAGTGTATTCCCCAGGAATTCAGGTTGGCACTATTATCCCCAAGTAATCCAGGACCTCGTTAATAAATCTGGCTGGTGACTAGTCTACATCGGATCTCTCTAGACATATTGTTGTAGTAAGTGTATCCCCAAGTAATCCAGGACCTCGTTAATAAATCTGGCTGGTGACTAGTCTACATCGGATCTCTCTAGACATATTGTTGTAGTACATTGTAAGTGTATCCCCAAGTAATTCAGGTCCTCGTTATAAATCTGGATGTTGACTAGTCTACCTCGGATCTCTCTAGACATATTGTTGTAGTAAGCGTAATCCCCAGTAATTCATGTCCTCGTTATAAATCTGGATGTTGACTAATCTAACTCGGATCTCTCTAGACATATTGTTGTAGTAAGTGTAATCCCCAGTCTTTCAGGTCCTCGTTATAAATCTGGATGTTGACTTAGTCTACATCGGATCTCTCTAGACATATTGTTGTAGTACATGTAAGTATATTCCCCAGAAATTCAGGACCTCGTTATAAATCTGGATGTTGACTAATCTAACTCGGATCTCTCTAGACATCTTTTTGTAGTAAGTGTATCCCCAAGTAATTCAGGTCCTCGTTATAAGTCTGAATGTTGACTAGTCTACCTCGGATCCCTCTAGACATTTTGTTGTAATAAGTGTATCCTCCAGCAATTGGCGGATTGGTCGAGTGTTTAACACTTCGGCCTTCCACGGAGGCGGCCGGGGTACGATCCTCGAAGTCGTTGCACGCATGGAATATTAGAGAAAGTGTTTTTCTCCTGCCCACACAACTCCAACAACTCAGGTGGAGTATAAAATGGTCTGGGGTGGATGTTGCGGTATCTGTGATGTAGCATTCAAGTGAGGTGACACTACAAAAGATGCCGTTGGAAGCACGGTCCCACTACAAACAGAACACAATACATCTCCAGCGCCCACACGCTGGCATACACACAAAGGGAGATATTTGCCAAGTGGCATAGGACTAGTAGTTATAGCGCCTGATAAGGCAGCTCCTGCGAACTCCTCAAAATTGTATATCTGTATCAATTGTATATATATGTACTGTAAAGCGCTTTAGAGTGGCTTATGTTAGCTAGATAGGGCGCTATATCAAATGTTGTAAATTATTATTATTAATTCAGGATCTCGTCATAAATCTGTACGTTGACTAGTCTACCTCGGATCTCTCTAGACATATTGTTGTAGTAAGTGTATTCCCCAGTAATTCAGGACCTCGTTATAAACATGGCTGTTGACTAGTCTACCTCGGATCCCTCTAGACATACTGTTGTAGTTAGTGTATTCCCCGGGAATTCAGGTTGGCACTATAAACATGGCTGTTGACTAGTCTACCTCGGATCCCTCTAGACATATATTGTTGTAGTTAGTGTATTCCCCAGTAATTCAGGTTGGCACTATAAACATGGCTGTTGAATAGTCTACCTCGGATCTCTCTAGACATATTGTTGTAGTAAGCGTAATCCCCAGTAATTCATGTCCTCGTTATAAACATGGCTGTTGACTAATCTAACTCGGATCTCTCTAGACATTATGTTGTAGTAAGTGTAATCCCCAGTAATTCAGGACCTCGTTATAAACATGGCTGTTGACTAATCTAACTCGGATCTCTCTAGACATTATATTGTAGTAAGTGTATTCCCCAGTAATTCAGGTTGGCACTATAAACATGGCTGTTGACTAGTCTACCTCGGATCTCTGTAGACATATTGTTGTAGTTAGTGAATTCCCCAAGAATTCAGGTTGGCACTATAAACATGGCTGTTGACTAATCTAACTCGGATCTCTCTAGACTTTATATTGTAGTAAGTGTATTCCCCAGTAATTCAGGTTGGCACTATAAACATGGCTGTTGACTAGTCTACCTCGGATCCCTCTAGACATATATTGTTGTAGTAAGTGTTTTCCCAAGTAATTCAGGTCCTCGTTATAAACCTGGATATTGACTAGTCTACCTCGGATCTCTCTAGACATATTGTTGTAGTAAGTGTATTCCAGTAATTCATGTCCTCGTTATAAATCTGGATGTTGACTAATCTAACTCGGATCTCTCTAGACATTGTGTTGTAGTAAGTGTAATCCCCAGTAATTCAGGACCTCGTTATAAACATGGCTGTTGACTAGTCTACATCGGATCCCTCTAGACATATATTGTGGTAGTAAGTGTTTTCCCAAGTAATTCAGGTCCTCGTTATAAGGCTGAGTGTTGACTAGTCTACCTCGGATCCCTCTTGACATATATTGTTGTAGTAAGTGTTTTCCCAAGAAATTCAGGTCCTCGTTATAAACCTGGATATTGCCTAGTCTACCTCGGATCTCTCTAGACAATATTGTTGTAGTAAGTGTATCCCCAAGTAATTCAGGTCCTCGTTATAAACCTGGATATTGCCTAGTCTACCTCGGATCTCTCTAGACATATTTCTGTCGTAAGTGTAATCCCCAGAAATTCAGGACCTCGTTATAAACATGGCTGTGGACTAGTCTACCTCGGATCTCTCTAGACAATATTGTTGTAGTAAGTGTATCCCCAAGTAATCCAGGACCTCGTTAATAAATCTGGCTGGTGACTAGTCTACATCGGATCTCTCTAGACATATTGTTGTAGTTAGTGTATTCCCCAAGAATTCAGGTTGGCACTATAAACTTGGCTGTTGACTAGTCTACCTCGGATCCCTCTGGACATATTTTTGTAGTTAGTGTATTCCCCAGGAATTCAGGTTGACACACCTCGGATCCCTCTAGACATATTCTTGTAGTTAGTGTATTCCCCAGTAATTCAGGTTGGCACTATAAACATGGCCGTGGACTAGTCTACCTCGGATCCCTTTAGAAATATATTGTTGTAGTAAGTGCAATCCCCAGTTATTCAGGACCTCGTTATAAACATGGCTGTTGACTAGCTAGTCTACCTCGGATCCCTCTAGACATATATTGTGGTAGTAAGTGTTTTCCCAAGTAATTCAAGTCCTCGTTATAAACCTGGATATTGACTAGTCTACCTCGGATCTCTCTAGACAATATTGTTGTAGTAAGTGTATCCCCAAGTAATTCAGGTCCTCGTTATAAACCTGGATATTGACTAGTCTACATCGGATCTCTCTAGACATATTGTTGTAGTTAGTGTAATCCCCAGTAATTCAGGTTGGCACTATAAACATGGCTGTGGACTAGTCTACCTCGGTTCCCTTTAGATATATATTGTTGTAGTAAGTGCAATCCCCAGTAATTCAGGACCTCGTTATAAACATAGCTGTTGACTAGTCTACCTCGGATCTCGTAAGTGTAATCCCCAGTAATTCAGGACGTCGTTATAAACATAGCTGTTGACTAGTCTACCTCGGATCTCTCTAGACAATATTGTTGTAGTAAGTGTATCCCCAAGTAATTCAGGTCCTCGTTATAAGGCTGAGTGTTGACTAGTCTACCTCGGATCCCTTTAGAAATATATTGTTGTAGTAAGTGCAATCCCCAGTAATTCAGGACCTCGTTATAAACATAGCTGTTGACTAGTCTACCTCGGATCCCTCTTGACATATATTGTTGTAGTAAGTGTTTTCACAAGTAATTCAGGTCCTCGTTATAAACCTGGATATTGACTAGTCTACCTCGGATATCTCTAGACATATAGTTGTAGTAAGTGTATTCCCCAGTAATTCAGGACCTCGTTATAAACATGGCTGTTGACTAGGCTACCTCGGATCCCTCTAGACATACTGTTGTAGTTAGTGTATTCCCCGGGAATTCAGGTTGGCACTATAAACATGGCCGTGGACTAGTCTACCTCGGATCCCTCTAGACATATTGTTGTAGTTAGTGTATTCCCCAGGAATTCAGGTTGGCACTATAAACATGGCTGTGGACTAGTCTACCTCGGATCCCTTTAGATATATATTGTTGTAGTAAGTGCAATCCCCAGTTATTCAGGACCTCGTTATAAATCTAGATGTTGACTAGTCTACCTCGGATCTCTCTAGACATATTGTTGTAGTAAGTGTATTCCCCAGTAATTCAGGACCTCGTTATAAACATGGCTGTTGACTAGTCTACCTCGGATCTCTGTCGACATATTGTTGTAGTAAGTGTATTCCCCAGGAATTCAGGTTGACACTATAAACATGGCTGTTGACTAGTCTACCTCGGATCTCTCTAGACATATTGTTGTAGTTAGTGTATTCCCCAGGAATTCAGGTTGGCACTATAAACATGGCTGTTGACTAGTCTACCTCGGATCCCTCTAGATATATTGTTGTAGTAAGTGTAATCCCCAGTAATTCAGGGCCTCGTTATAAACATGGCTGTTGACTAGTCTACCTCGGATCTCTCTAGACATATTGTTGTAGTTAGTGTATTCCCCAGGAATTCAGGTTGGCACTATAAACATGGCTGTTGACTAGTCTACCTAGGATCTATCTAGACATATTGTTGTAGTAAGTGTAATCCCCAGTAATTCAGGACCTCGTTATAAACATGGCTGTTGACTAGTCTACCTCGGATCTCTATCGACATATTTTTGTAGTTAGTGTATTCCCAAGGAATTCAGGTTGGCACTATAAACATGGCTGTTGACTAGTCTACCTCGGATCCCTCTAGACATATTGTTGTAGTTAGTGTAATCCCCAGTAATTCAGGTTGGCACTATAAACATGGCTGTTGACTAGTCTCCCTCGGATCTCTCTAGACATATTTTTGTAGTTAGTGTATTCCCCAGGAATTCAGGTTGGCACTATAAACATGGCTGTTGACTAGTCTACCTCGGATCCCTCTAAAAAATTTGTTGTAGTTAGTGTATTCCCCAGGAATTCAGGTTGGCACTATAAACAATTCACCAGGAATTCAGGTTGGCACTATAAACATGGCTGTTGACTAGTCTACCTCGGACCTCTGTAGACATATTGTTGTAGTTAGTGTATTCCCCAGGAATTCAGGATGGCACTATAAACATGGCTGTTGACTAGTCTCCCTCGGATCCCTCTAGACATTATGTTGTAGTAAGTGTAATCCCCAGTAATTCAGGACCTCGTTATAAACATGGCTGTTGACTAGTCTCCCTCGGATCCCTCTAGACATTATGTTGTAGTAAGTGTAATCCCCAGTAATTCAGGACCTCGTTATAAACATGGCTGTTGACTAGTCTACCTCGGACCTCTGTAGACATATTGTTGTAGTTAGTGTATTCCCCAGGAATTCAGGATGGCACTATAAACATGGCTGTTGACTAGTCTACCTCGGACCTCTGTAGACATATTGTTGTAGTTAGTGTATTCCCCAGGAATTCAGGTTGGCCCTATAAACATGGCTGTTGACTAGTCTACCTCGGATCGTAAGTGTATCCCCAAGTAATTCAGGTCCTCGTTATAAATCTGGATGTTGACTAGTCTACCTCGGATCTCTCTAGACATATTGTTGTAGTAAGTGTAATCCCCAGTAATTCAGGACCTCGTTATAAACATGGCTGTTGACTAGTCTACCTCGGATCCCTCTAGACATATTGTTGTAGTAAGTGTTTTCCCAAGTAATTTAGGTCCTCGTTATAAACCTGGATATTGACTAGTCTACCTCGGATATCTCTAGACATATTGTTGTAGTAAGTGTATTCCCCAGTAATTCAGGTTGTCGTTATAAACATGGCTGTTGACTAGTCTACCTCGGATCTCTCTAGACATATTTTTGTAGTAAGTGTAATCCCCAGTAATTCAGGTCCTCGTCATAAATCTGTCCGTTGAATAATCTACCTCGGAGCACATCGGACTTTTTCCCTGAAGTACAATTATAGCACTGATGAATCATATGTTTAAGGGTATTGTAAAGTTTGTTTAGCTTTCTGTATGTGAAACTAGAGTTTTGATAACAGCTGTTTCTCTAATTTGTGTTCCCGGTGTTTATCCTGATTAGACCACCGTATATAGGAGGGCCCGACTATTTAGTTGACACTGATTGTCTATACTCAACCGTTGGTTGGTACATACAACATCGAAATTTTGGCCTGTGGTCTATGCTGTTTTAATCACTCCATTCCAATTGTTTACTTGTGTTTCGTCTTGACGAAGGGGCCGCGGTGGCCAAGTGGTAATGGCGTCTGACATTCTGCTACCAATAGCCCTCCACCACTGGGCCGCGGGTTCGAGGCCTTCGTGGAGCAATCGCTAGGTACTGGTCGTAGGTCGGTGGTTTTTCTGCGGGAACTCCGGCTTTCCTCGACCACCAAAACCTGGCACGTCCTTAAATGACCATAGCAGTTAATATGACGTAAAACACAAACAACCCAAGGTTTAGTCACTAATAGTTGTAGTGTAGAATGTAGAGTTATTGTTCATAAGCGAGTTCGTGAAGATAAAAAAGTACAATATTTGAAGTGGATTGGAATTAGTTAGAAAAACTGTTATGAAGCGATTCCTATTCGATCTTTACGCATTTCACCACAAGGCATAGACAACATGTACAGTTGCACCTGTTCGGAATAATTCCCAGAGGATTGTGAACAGTATACAAGATAAACACATGGTTTATTACGGTAAATAACTGTATTGTTTCACTACCCATTTACTTTATACAACTAGTTAATGGGCAACGTTATGTTCTGTAATAAATTCGTATGCGTTATATAGTCGTACAGAATAAACTAACCAACTCCACAGCGTCGTGTCTCCATTTAATTTTCTCCTGTCCACTCAATTGATAGCCCCCGGAAGTAGAATTACACAAAAGAGTTCCATAAATTAAGGCGAGAGGACAACCTTTCCGGTACGAGCAATAACAATCGTGCCGGACAACTTTTCCGGAATATTCATGTTTATATTATCGTCGTAAGCAAACCAGAAAACAGTGAGTTAATTATGAGGAAAATAGACATTAATGAATAATGATGTGTGCCTACGGTTATGTAAAAATTGGTTCAAAAAATTAAATAAAATGGCCTCTCCAAAATATGTTTAAACATTTCAATGTTACTATAAATGTTATTCATAATTTTCATGTATACGAGCTCACTTATGGCCAATAACGACCTATTTCATAGTTTGATGATGTATCATTGATTCTCTCGAATTCTAAAGCTAACGATCGAACATTACTGTGTGTGTTTTTTCAATTTTATCAGAAACAATGTCTGGTATCTTCTGACTTGATACAAAAAAGTAATAGGTTATTATCGTCACTATGCATTTTGTAGGTGAAGTCAAAACAAAAAGTGTGTTATACGTAATACACAAATATGTTTACAAAAAGTTTGTTATACGTAATACACAAATATATTTACAATAAGTGTGTTATACGCAATGCACAAATATATTAACAATAAGTGTGTTATACGTAATACACAAATATGTTTACAAAAAGTTTGTTCTACGTAATACACAAATATATTTACAACAAGTGTGGTATACGTTATACACAAATATATTTACAATAAGTGTTTTATGCGTAATACACAAATATATTTACAATAAGTTTGGTATACGTTATACACAAATATATTTACAATAAGTGTGGTATACGTAATACAAAAATATATTTACAATAAGTGTATTATACGTAATACACAAATATATTTATAATAAGTGTAGTGTACGTAATACACAAATATATTTACAATAAGTGTGTTATACGTAATACACAAATATATTTATAATAAGTGTAGTGTACGTAATACACAAATATATTTACAATAAGTTTGGTATACGTTATACACAAATATATTTACAATAAGTGTTTTATGCGTAATACACAAATATATTTACAATAAGTGTTTTATACGTAATACACAAATATATTTACAATAAGTGTTTTATACGTAATACACAAATATATTTACAATAAGTTTGGTATACGTTATACACAAATATATTTACAATAAGTGTTTTATACGTAATACACAAATATATTTACAATAAGTTTGGTATACGTTATACACAAATATATTTACAATAAGTGTTTTATGCGTAATACACAAATATATTTACAATAAGTTTGGTATACGTTATACACAAATATATTTACAATAAGTGTGGTATACGTAATACAAAAATATATTTACAATAAGTGTATTATACGTAATACACAAATATATTTATAATAAGTGTAGTATACGTAATACACAAATATATTTACAATAAGTGTTTTATACGTAATACACAAATATATTTACAATAAGTGTGTTATACGTAATACACAAATATATTTACAAAAAGTGTGTTATACGTAATACACAAATATATTTACAACAAGTGTGGTATACGTTATACACAAATATATTTACAATAAGTGTGTTATACGTAATACACAAATACATTTACAACAAGTGTGTTATACGTAATACACAAATATATTTGCAATAAGTGTGTTATACGTAATACACAAATATATTTACAATAAGTTGTGATTAACAACACTTATATGACTACGTCACTCTCTTCTTTTCTCGGCGTCAGCAAAATGTTGAGTAATTCATTCATGCTTAGATACATAGAATTATTCTGACAAAACTAGGATTTCGCAATCCTTTGACAGCCAGCTCTGAAATAAAAAAACACAACAACAATAAAATAAAAACACATTTCAAAAGTTGCGACGTTTAGGTTTCGATTTGTTTCCAAAACTGTATTTCTGGGTTTGGTTTTTTCAGTGTTTATCTAATTCATTTTCAAATAATCAGTATATCATTGTAACAATGTCGGTTTGTAGGGACGATGTAATACGTAGGCTATATAGGTATTTATTTAAAGTAAATGCTAATTTTATGACAATTTATATTTTAAATAGATCTATGTTGTATATAACTCGCTTGTAAATGAATAGTGTAACTGGAGTGCTTATGTAGGTCATGCATAGTTCACATAGTAGTAGACGCCAAGGGTAAGCCTGATAGCTTCTTAGGGCGCATTTTGATAGTTAAAACTTCGATTGTATTTACACTTCCGGTGTGCTTGAATAAGGAGAAGTATAACAGGTATGCAGATAGCACTGCGCCTCGAATTTGAACTGATGGTTTTCCCAGAACTTATTGAGCAAATATTGGTTAGTATTTTTTGTTTGTTTTCTAAATCAAGCTACTGGAAATATAAAAAAAAAACTGTGGTCGTCATTATAAGCTTCTATTTATTTTACATTACAGCAAGGAGTAGGGCCGCTAAACTACATTGAAGTGGAATTTACAGACAAGACACCAACGAAGCCGAAAATGTCAGTGTCTGAGAAAGAGGCGTCTAAAGTGACGTACAGCGAGGTGACAGTAGACGCACAGATATATGAAAATCAATGATGGTTCAATACAGGACATATATATTCTATACTTCTAATTATTTAAGATTATTTTAATGGATTTGAGAAGGAGTTCCTGCACAGTTTATATCGTTATAAACACTTGTACTAAACTTAGTACAAGTAAAATCTAAGGTTTGGTGATATTTTTTTGAACTCATATTTGATAATGATATTGAAATACTAATATGTGTTTAAATAATAAACATGTACTGTTCAGCCCAATTAAGCAAGAACTCTGCAGTTCTAGCTTTGTCCCAGAACGCTGGAGTATTAGGACATGATAAATAGAATCTTACATTCGTGTCCATATCATTTTGAATTTTTCAAACTCGTTCAATAATTGTATACGACACCCACATAAAGGCTCGTGTTATATAAAATCATCAAACTCGTTCAATAATTGTATACGACACCCACATCAAGGCTCGTGTTATATAAAATCATCGAACTCGTTCAATAATTGTATACGACACCCACATCAAGGCTCGTGTTATATAAAATCATCGAACTCGTTCAATAATTGTATACGACACCCACATCAAGGCTCGTGTTATATAAAATCATCGAACTCGTTCAATAATTGTATACGACACCCACATCAAGGCTCGTGTTATATAAAATCATCGAACTCGTTCAATAATTGTATACGACACCCACATCAAGGCTCGTGTTATATAAAATCATCGAACTCGTTCAATAATTGTATACGACACCCACATCAAGGCTCGTGTTATATAAAATCATCGAACTCGTTCAATAATTGTATACGACACCCACATCAAGGCTCGTGTTATATAAAATCATCGAACTCGTTCAATAATTGTATACGACACCCACATCAAGGCTCGTGTTATATAAAATCATCGAACTCGTTCAATAATTGTATACGACACCCACATCAAGGCTCGTGTTATATAAAATCATCGAACTCGTTCAATAATTGTATATGACACCCACATCAAGGCTCGTGTTATATAAAATCATCAAACTCGTTCAATAATTGTATACGACACCCACATAAAGGCTCGTGTTATATAAAATCATCGAACTCGTTTAAAAATCCAACATGAAATGGACACTAATGTAAGATCCTTTATGTATGTCATACTCCAAACACAATTTTAGAAACGACGGTTTTAGGATTACTGAAAGATTAGAGAATTTCGAGACATAAACACTTTTAGGAGATTAGAATGTTGTCAATATTTTCCTAATATGGATTCTGAGGTAGAAGAGTGAATGTTTTAGTTATATATTTATAAATGTTTAAAATTTAAAAAAAAAAATTCCTATTAGAGTTGAAATATTTTAATTTTAATTAATTTATAAAACTTAAATCAAACTACTCTTTATTCGAATTTTCTGATATAAATAACTGGCAGTATAAAACAGATTTAAAAAAAAATATATACTTCAGTGGCGGAATATTTCCTTTAACGGTGAAGTTATACCCAACACACTAAGTAATATGCAGCTTACAGAGGCTTGTATCATGTCCGAGTTTTTTAAAACTTTGGGAGCAGAAAGCAAAAGAGATATGAAATCTAGACATGTCACATGTGCCATATTAGCTGCAAAACAACCTATATACCAATTTGTCATGCTAAAATATGTATTCAAAGACAGCTACAATTGGTGATTTTAAATCAGTTGTGCGAGAGACGAACACTGAAGGATGTGCTTTCTGTTAGTGTCTGGAGGTCACGCAGTCATTGTGAGTTATCTCCCCTGGAACAAATATAGTAAAACTATATACACTGTACTATGAGCTGTGTGCGGTATCTCATTATTTTATCTTTTGTTCTTGGACATAATTCATTGTAACAACAATATGCAGCGTAAATGTCCTCCAGCGGGAACCCAACTTTAACAGCAATCTAACGGAACGAAGTACGTGGTTTGTTTGTGGTTAGAGTAAGATTTTCGCCAATGTTTGTTCACTTCAATGACAAAAGTTAGAAGAAATTCAGACGCATGAGTTAAGATAATATTAATAATAATAATGTACATAGAATAAGCCACTCTTTAGTGCTTTACAGTACATAGATGAAAGGCTCACTACTCAAGTAATTTATGGAGGCACGGTAGTGAAGTGGTAGGACGCCGGGCTCGTGACCGAAGGGTTGCGGGTCCGAGTCACGTCAGGGCATTGCGTTGTATACTTTCTTCTGCTTGAGTACGTGGTTGGGCAGTGCTAGAATGTAGAATGTAAGCTGTGACCGCCGAAATGGCAGCACCGGCTGTATGCTCCCCAGGGAGTTGAGAAAGATATTGACTGGTTGCAAAGGCCCTATAACCACGGATAATAATCTCTGAACCGCTTTGAGACGACCTACGAACTAGGTTGTGATAAAGCGGTAAATAAGAACCCCGAATTATTATTATTATTATTATTACAGTAACGTCATTTCTATATAGCTGCATTCATGGAAATTGCTTACGCTTTTTATCTCATAAATACATGTGTTTTATCGCTGATAGAAGATACAATAGGGATGACTAATCGGTTTATTTGAATTTCTAATTATTCTGAGTTTGTGGCCATCGTGTAACGTTGTTTATTACACATAGTTAAGATGTGATTGATACCAGGTTCATCTAAACAAAGAAAAACGTATGTCATGGATTTATGTGATATTATCTTATCAATATTGTCAATTGTAAATAAAAAATAAAACCTTCGAGTCGAAACAATGACAAAGATGTCTGATCTGATTTTAGTGAAAATAGCCGTTTTTAGGTTCCTATTATCAAGTGCAACGGTCCTAGCTATCAGGTAGCTATATGGCGGAACCCTGTGCTATACTGTCTCTGTCGCTAAAGGATCACTTCGTGTTTGACTGGGAGCTATCAATTTAAATTTTCTTTTTCAATCAGAAGGATTGCTCTTGGCTGATATACGTTTCATGTGTTTAATTTCTTCTGCGATGTATTTTGTGAAAGGAAATAAAATCGAACCTTGAACAAATGTGGCTATACAAATATAAATAATCACGTGATAGAATGTTAATTTTGTTATAGAAAAAAATTGAATTTATGTAAATACTTTTATGAATGTACAAATAGTATTCGTCACGTTTCATGTTATTTGTATTCACAAAATTGTAGTATTTTTAATTTACGTACTGTAGATAACTTATATTTTCGCGGAGTTTTCAATTCGCGGAATTACCTTCTCGGATTTAAATTCACGTTTTTTTCAACGTTCACGCCTAATGTTATGCATACTGACTTTTTCTTGTGAAATTTGTGTTTTCAGTCGAGAATACCAGTGTTGTTTATTTCGTTTTGGATAACTCTGCTGCGTGCCTGGGTCAGGACTTAACCGATGGCAAGCTAGCTCAGTAGGACAGGGCGAGGGTTCGAACCCGGGTCTGGTAGCGTTGCATACTCATTGTTTTTCTTGTTTGCCGGTTATTTCATCTTCATATGTTTCCTAAATGTTCTGCAAAGTAAAGTTCTCTTGTCAGAAATTATTTATCGAAGTCAAAGTCATGCCGGAATAAAAGACTCCCTGAGCAGCTACAGTCTATGGCAGTGGTACGGGGATTTTTACGTGCAATTACGCGAAAACAATAACTACGTGAAATGTAAGTAATCTACAGTATTAGACTTGTCAGTATTAGCGAGTGGACGTTTTCGTAGTGAAGGACTCGCATGGCTGAGTGAATGACTTTTTGGACCACAGTATGAAAGAGCGAGTAAATCAATAAATCGATTAAACAATCAATCGGTGTTCGTCTCCTGTTTAAATGTTATGATATACAATGTATTTTTTATTTATATTGAAGTAACAATTGGAACGAAACTACCCCACGTTGAATTGGTATATATATGTACTTGTCATTCTACGACATAACACATGTCAGTCTTATTAATAGGTATACTCACTGTTTGCTATATAACATATCTATCTTTAGAATCATTTGAATTTACTGTAAATTTGAAAATTGTCGCGTGTGGAAACTAGTCGCGGTGGGGAAAGGACTTGGGGCGTTATGGGTCATTTTTGGCCTCATAAAAGGTACAAATCGCAACTTAAATTTATTTACCAATTTCTGTTTTAAACATCATAGTGGTTAATTTGGGCTATCTGTCTTGGTGAAGATGTTTTTTTCCAATGCACTTTCGTAGATGCCCTACTATAGCAACAACATTGCGTTGCTAGGCAGAAATAGTCAAAATATTGTGTTTTTGGACAGTTACCATGCAGAAATGAAAGCCTCCGCATGTGACAAACAAACCTTTCTGTTTACCAATGAACACTGGTATAACAATGTTTAAGCATGTGACAAACAAACCCTCCTCTCTACCAATGAACACTGGTATAACAATGAACACTGGTATAACAATGTTTAAGTATGTGACAATCAAACCTTCCTGTCTACAAATGAACACTGGTATAACAATGTTTCAGTATGTGCCAAACAAACCCTCCTCTCTACCAATGAACACTGGTATAACAATGTTTAAGTATGTCACAAACAAACCCTCCTCTCTACCAATGAACACTGGTATAACAATGAACACTGTTATAACAATGTTTAAGTATGTGACAAACAAACCCTCCTCTCTACCAATGAACACTGGTATAACAATGTTTAAACATGTGACAAACAAACCTTCCTTTCTACAAATGGCCACTGGTATAACAATGTTTAAGCATGTGACAAACAAACCTTCCTTTCTACAAATGGCCACTGGTATAACAATGTTTAAGCATGTGACAAACAAACCTTCCTTTCTACAAATTAACACTGGTATAACAATGCTTAAACATGTAACAAACAAGCCTTCCTGTCTACCAATGAACACTGGAATAACAATGTTTAAACAAGTAACAAACAAACCTTTCTGTCTACCAATAAACACTGGTATAACAATGCTTAAACATGTAACAAACAAACCTTACTGTCTACCAATAAACACAGGTATAACAATGAACACCGGTATAACAATGAACACCGGTATAACAATGAACACCGGTATAACAATGAACACCGGTATAACAATGAACACCGGTATAACAATGAACACCGGTATAACAATGAACACGGATATATCAATGAACACTGGTATAACAATGAACACTGATATAACAATGAACACTGGTATAATAATGAACAAGGGTATAACAATGAACACTGGTATAACAATGAACACTGATATAACAATGAACACTGATATATCAATGAACACTGGTATAACAATGAACACTGGTATAACAATGAACAGTGGTATAACAATGAACACTGGTATAACAATGAACACTGATATAACAATGAACAGTGGTATAACAATGAACACTGGTATAACAATGAACACTGATATAACAATGAACAGTGGTATAACAATGAACACTGGTATAACAATGAACACTGATATAACATGAACACTGGTATAACAATGAACACTGGTATAACAATGAACACTGGTATAACAATGTTTAATGACAAATATTTGTTTGGTTGGCGAATGCGGAGGCTTTTACAAATTGAAGAGTGTTTTGTTAATTTCCTTCAAAATGGCAAGTTTTCAACCAAATAGAGCATAGCAGACGATATTCACGCATTTTATGATGAAATTGCTTGTTCATGTCTCTCTTTGCCATGTCTCCTATTTCATATTTGCGTACTTCATTTATTCCAGATTACGAATATAACAACTAATTGTAAAACCGTGACGAGGCCGGAAATGACCCTAAACGCCCTAATCCTTTTCGTGTTGGCTAAAGTTCTGAAATCTGTACATTCGATTAATACATATCTTTGTGTGGATAGTTTCGTTAATTTACTCAACACGAAAACCTCAGTTTAGTTTAAACATATTTATTGCCAAAATTACACAAGGGATTTGGCACAAGTTAGAACAACTTTTCAACGCCTTCTTCCAATATACATTTGAAATGACATTACAATAATGACAATAAATATATACAATTGTTGTTACAATTTGAACTTAAAATCTCTTGCTGGATTTAATAAAGTTTTGCACATATCTAAAAATGTTTGAGTTAAGGTCAATGGAAAATTGTAAATTGTTAAACAAAAGAAATTCTAAATTTAACGCAACATTCAAATTATTCAAATTTTGAACCAAAATACGTCTTTCGTTTATGAAAAGGTGACATTCCAATAAATAGTGAAAGACATTCTCACAAGGATGACCACAATTACAAGATGCACTCTCAACAAGGTTAACACTAAAAAGGAAATAATTAAGGGAACTGCACTGGTGTCGGAGCCTAGTATACAAAATATTAAGTTTCTGATTAACGATTTTAAAGTAAATAGGTGGACTTGACTAAATATTTGATGTTAAACAGGATTTGAATGAATTAATAAGAGCGTAGCTCTCGGGTACAGCTGTACCCTCACCCTTTCACAGTATCCCTGGTACACATATACCACGCCTGCCGATAGTGTACATTTCGTGAATGCTGCTAGGAAGGGGGAGGATATCAACCAGCTTCACCAGCAACTCCAGACACAGGAAGGGGGAGGATATCAACCAGCTTCACCAGCAACTCCAGACACAGGAAGGGGGAGGATATCAACCAGCTTCACCAGCAACTCCAGGCACAGGAAGGGGGAGGATATCAACCAGCTTCACCAGCAACTCCAG